ATACTCCACACGTGAAACTGAAGTAAACCGCAAATAAGATTGAAATCTTTTACGTTTTAATCATAATTCCTCTTATTGAAGTACTTTTGAGAAGAACAAAAATATTTTAAATTTATTTTCTGTAATTCCGAATAAATTTTTCTAATACTTCTACGTAAAATCAAAACCTGAGGAGCTACGAAGTCATTAAGTGTCTATGTATGGTTTTCTATTGAAAACGCTATTTAACTATAAGCTAAGATATATCTTTAATCCATGAATCCCTTCCTACCCAGTGCTAAATCCTAGGTTTTCTCTGGGTTCGGAGAAAGTTCTAGTTCTCATCCGGGTTTGGAGTAAAATCTGACTCCGTCTCTCTTTCAGTTCTCCTCTCTCCGTCCCGTATGTATGACTTGCGAACTCTCGTTCTCTCTTTCCCCCTGATCCGTCCTCGCTATGTAATTTCCAATATGTTTCATACTTTCTAGATTTCTTTTAGCTCAAATTTTAACTTTCATTCGTTTCAACTTTAAACTCAATCTTCTTTTGGCATTTACTTTATTCCCCCCCCCCCACCCCCAGTAACAACAAAAAATGTCTCTTATTTTTGGGGGTTTTCGATGTAATTTCAAACTACTTCTAACAGGGGTCATATCCCATTCACAACGGTACTCATAAACCTCTATCTGATCAGTAATGTGGAACATGTCGTCGTTTTTTAAGCTCGTAAGAGTATTTGTAATTCTGGCAACAATCTTTATTTTTTTTTTAAATTATCATTTAGCAAGTCACTTTTATAGAGAAACTAACCTTAATAATGTGTCCACATAGTTTAGATGTTCTTTGCAACATAACATCCTTATATTCTTTCTATTCTTAGATCGATTATGTCCATTATCTATTCTTAGATCGATTATGCCCCTCAAGTCTTTCTGTTCTTAGCTCAATTATGTCCATGTATTCTATCTATTCTTAGATCGATTAAATGTCCATATATTTTATCTATTCTTAGTTGGATTATGTCCGTATATTCTATGTATTCTTGGCTCGATTATGTCAGTATATTCTATCTATTCTTGGCTCGATTATGTCCGTATATTATATCCATTCTTTGCTCGATTATGTCCGTATATTCTATCTATTCTTGGCTTGATTATGTCCGTATATTCTATCTGTTCTTAGCTCGATTATGTCCGTATATTCTATCTATTCTTAGCTCGATTATGTTCATCTATTTTATCTGTTCTTAGCTCAATTATGTTTGTATATTTTATCTTTTCTTTGCTCAAAAATGTTCATCTCTTCTATCTTAGCTCAATAATCTTCATACATTCATCTATTCCTAGCTCAATTATTACATTATAAATCTTCTTAGCTTAATAATCTTCATGTATTTATCTATTCTTAGCTCAATTATAATATTCTATATGTTTTTAGCTTAATTCCATATATTCTATCTCTTAGCTAAATTATGTCCGTATATTCTATCTATTCTTAGCGAAGTTGTGTCCGTATATTCTATCTATTCTTAGCGAAATTATGTCCGTATATTCTATCTATTCTTGGCTCGATTATGTTCATCTTTTCTATCTGTTCTTAGCTCGATTTAATTGTCGGTATATTTCATCTATTCTTAGCTCAACAAAGTATGATATATTCTATCTATTCTTAGCTTAATAATCTTCATGAACTCATCTATTCTTAGCTCAATTATTATATTACATATGTTCTGAGCTAAATTATGTCAGAATGTATTATCTACTCCTAGCTTTATGTCCATATATTCATCTTTTTTGCTCAATAATGTTCATATATTCTAACAATTCTAAGTGCGACTATGTTCTTACCATGTATCTATTTTGAGCTAAATGTTCGTAAATTCTATCTATTTCTAGTTCAATAATGTTCATATATTTTAGAGGTTTTTGCTTAGTATTATTCTTATATATTATATAATCTATTCTTTTTAAAATTATTTTATCATTTTCGATCGTAAATTTAAAGTTTTAGTTGAACAATATTTAGTAGATTTTAACTACTCTTAGCTTTCAATTGGTATATTTATTATTTATAGCTCAATAACATTTATTCTATTTGTGATAAATTCATAGCTTAATATTTTTCGATTTTTTTATTTAATACTTATTTACTATCTCAGCAAATTTTCTTAAAACGTTTACATATATCTAGTTCATCAAAGGAATTGATTTCTTGCCATATACTCAAATTTTACAATCACTATATTTCAAACTTTGACTATTCGATCTAACATAATTAGATTCAAATATCAAAAGGCTACGACATCAGGGTGCAAAATTAAAGTGAAATAAAAATATTAGAATTTACACTTGCTGTGTCTGCCTAAAAATCAGGCCGGTTCATCAAACGAACCAATGTTTTCAGTGCTAAGGGATAAAAACAAGGGATCTTGAGCTTGATAACCACAGCTAACACTTTTACATTAAAATAAGGTTATATTTCGGAATAAACGGAAATTCACAAAAAAAAAATAAGAAATGATTCAAATGAAAGAAACGCAGCTGATAAACCACCAGGGGAGAGGAACTGATTGAGCTTGTTATTTACAGATTAAAAATACAAAAGTTTTAACCTGTAGTTACGTTTTAACATTAAAGAAGTTTTCATACCTGATTCATTTATTGAACTCAATTAGCTTTTCTTAATAAGAGTTGAGTTTTAAAAGTGAAGATAAAAAATATAAATAAATTTATGTTTAATGTGAAGTTACAGATAAAGTAAAAAAAGTAAACGCAATTTAGATAAATGTTAGTCTAAATGTAAAGATTTTTTTCTGAGAAATGAATTTATGTATTCTTATTTTGAAAATTATTTAAAATACGATTTAAAAAGGTTTTTCTTAGATTATCAAGATTCATAAAAATGATAGCTTCCAGAAAAAATTCATGGCTTCTATTTTTAGAAAAAAACATTTTAAGACAATGAAGTAAAATATAGCTTAAGAAATATCGAAGATTCTTCTTTAAACTGAATTTATGTGTAGTTTTCGAGAAAAAAAATCAAATTTTCAAAAAAATATGATAATAATAGACATAAAGAAAGGATTTCTTGACACTGCCAATTAAAATCCTAGAACAAAACTGGATAAATGCAAAAAAGTGTTTACTTTTATTTAAAACTGATTAGTCATTAATCGTGATTTCTCAACAAAAGTGACTTGCGCATTTCTGCTTCTGAAGCAATGAAGAAACTGTATGAATTTAACACTTTTTAAGCTAAAAACACGACAATGTCTTTCTTTTTAATGATCATTGATCATTAGTTTCAAAGATTTACAGTACCAGTGGCTGAATTTAAAGAATTCGAGCGGCGGTTTAAATTTAAGCCGCGGCTTAAATTATGGTTTGTTCCACTTATAAATTGTATCAAATGTTTCAAGATTTAAGCCGGCGCTTAATTTAAACCGGGTTTTGGCAGATCTAAACCGCGGCTCAAATTCTTTAAATTCTATCTCTGGGATTAGATTATAGGGATTAGAAAATTTGAGTTCGTTGCAAAAGGGCTTAATTCCTTATAGGAGAGATCTTTAACATATTGAGCTAACAAAAAAAGCGATCGCAATTATCAAATTCTGGAGTTTAGAATTACGATATTGTAAAAAAATTAAACTTTTCCTTTTCTTGAAAAATATGTTTTAAGATGTTTTTTCTAGAACTTTGCATATTTTTTAATTTGTTTTGTTTTAAAATAGAAAAGGAAGAAATATGACAAATATTTTTAAACTTTGCTAAACCAAATAATTACGGAGGGAAGCGAATAAGTAAAAATAGGCAAACGTACTTTTACCCTTCTCTTTAAACCTTCCTCTTAGCAACGAAAGGTGTTAACCTATTCTTTTATCTGAATAAAAATGACTATATTTGTGCAGCATAGGAAAGCAAGAAAATTAAAAGAAGTTATATATTTTTAAGAAAGAAAAACGCCAATATCTTCCTCATTGTTTATTTGATGAAGGACATGAAATGCTTGAAATTACGTCGAAAATAATAAATATTATCAGAACATTTGGGTGGATATTGTTAATCTTGAATACTTCAATCACGATATCCAATGTATAAAACACTTTTAGATTTAAGGATCAATGCTTGATCCGTCAATTAAAGTTATCCCTTCCGGGAATCAAATAAATCCGTAGATCTGCATAAAATGGAGATTTAAGCTTGATCTTAGTTCTGTATTTTTGCCAATTCTGTTCTTGTTTCTCAGCTGTGTGGTAAATGATATAAAACAATAGAGCAACAATACATATTTTTAATCAATTTATTTATTCAGTTTATCTAATAATATATCCCGGACCAGTATACTCACCGATATATTTCATATAAAATACAAATTTATAACTTCCAATACACAATAACATAAATAGTATACGATACCTTAGAATTTATAACATTTGCCTTTAAAAAATTTCAAATTTTCAAAATCCACGAAAAAATCGAAAAATCCAAGAAATTTTTTATTATTGATTTTTAATTTTTAGAAGAGAAACATTGATTTTCATATATAGCATACAATACGTTCTACATATTTTTCAAGGTTCAAATATTTTATTTATAATTTTTTTTCTCCATTAAAACTTACCACCTGACCAAGGAAAGATTTACTATCGATCAAAATTAGAAAAATTGCCACAAAAAAAAATTTCGATTTAAATATTTTTTTTTGGAAATCCGGCCGCTAATCAAATCTGCGACATTTTTTGTTATTATTTTTAAATGAACGAAAGTCTTACAGAAAGTTGAGCAAAAACGATTTTAACTTAACTTCAAAAAAGTAAAACTGAAACTAAGAAAAAGTTCTTTATTGTCCAAAAATGTTCATGTGTAAAGCTACAATAAGTATATGCGAGGTAAAATCAAAATAAAGATAACGATCAAAATAAATAAATCTTTTTATATTACCATCATGTTTATCATATTAGAAAATAAATAAATAAAAATAAATGAATAAATAATCTATTAAATAATTTCAAAATTATTTTCAGATTTTCAATATTCAGAATATTCAAAATCTGTCTTCTCTACTTGATGTTTGACTAAACCAGGTAAAGATTCAGCGAGGTTCAAAAAGCATAAAAGTTAAAAAATTATAGTTGTACCAATTAAACCTTTATTTGAGCAACATGTGAGCAAGATATCGTCGTTTTGCCCAAAATTAGAAAGTGTTGAATTAACGTTTTCTTTGCCTCTGCTGCATAAATATACACTACTACATTTTTAATCGTAACTCTTCTTAATAAACAGTTATTTAGATTTTACTTCTCTCTGATGTTTGTTTAATAAGATTTTGATAAAATTGGACCAGATAAATCCTTGATTTGTAATATTAAAGACTAAAGGAAATGAGAATTGCCACAGACTCTGATTTTCTAATTTCAATATCATTGCAACCAAATGTCGTAGACCTTTAATATTTCAAGCTATGAATGCTGTTAGATCAAATAATGTAAGTTTGAAATATCAAAGGTTTACATCATCAAGTTGCAAAGAAATAAGGATTAAAAAAATTGAATTTGTGGCAAGATTTTGATTCTACGCAAGTTCAGGTTTTTTATTAAATCCCAGTCCAATTCAAACGTCGTCTTTTTAGTGTAAATCCAAGAAATTATATATGTAAAAGGGACCGTTCACTTATTTGGGTAATTTCAGGGTAAACTAAACCGCCTATTCGCTGTTGATTGGTAATAGTCTTACTTTTCAAAGACAACTGTGGCCGGAGAAAAAGCCGATTTTTCGTTCAGAATTTGAGCGGAAAGGGACGGTCCTCTCTTGGACAATCTTTCTCCGGCCACAGTTGTCTTTGATAAGTAAGACTATTACCAATTAACAGTGGATAGGGTGTTTAGTTTAAGGGATCGAATAAGGGACTGTCAGCGTAATTTTAAGTGACCATCCTTGCGAAGATGGCCATGTCCGATTTGCATTGGTACCCTTCAAACCTTTGTCTGATCAAGTATAAATATATAAATGTTTTCGTTGTTTCTTTAAACTGTTATTTTCATTTGGATTCTCTACAGCAGTGACTTGAGCATAATTCTATTGCAAAACTACCATATCTTCCCGTATCCCGATCATTGCTCAAATAAAAGGTTTCAAGGGTAACATTGTGAATCGGGGATTGTAATATTTGCATGGAGGGTCACGTGAAGAGAAGAAAATGTCCAAACATCTGATATTAAAAAGGCCTGAATTTATTTGTACATTTAACATTTTCTTTACAACTGAGATGAAAGTAAAATAAAAAGGCGTCAAATGCCTGTCAAATCCATAAGCAAGGAAAACTTTGCATTTTAAAGGGATTGCTCCCATATTTAGAAAAGGGGGATTTATACGAAAAATATGTCAAATAGAGTTCTAATTTTTAGTTAAAAATGTTATTAAGGATCTGTTATTTGTAACTATCCATTGAAAACCTTTCCACAGTTTAACATAACAGCATTCTTTAAACAAAGTTTAAAAATGCAATTTTTTATTATTTGAACTTTTTCCTGTGAAGTTTGCCACGGGGATTCAAATTTTTAAAGATTCACTCTAAATTATAACTTCCTGCTTATTATAATTTTTTACATGTAATAAATAAACAATTTCAAAAGAAACACGGTTTTGTAAAGGATTTTATTTTTTTCAAATCTCAATAAATTTTAAAAGATATCATTTCATGTGGGTTTAATTTTAATTTTATTCATCTTTAAACTTTAGAAATTCTTAATTTAATCTTCTGGTGTTCTGGATAAAAAGTCTTGAATCTAATGAGACGGAACCCCAATTACTACTTATCTCAACCTAGAGCTGGACATATGGTTTATTCTAGTGTGTTGGCTATTTTGAGACCCCACAATAATCTGAGTTTAACATGCTCTTAAAGTTGAATTTTGTTACAATATGTAAAATTTCGACTCTCAGAATTAACGATTCGTTTAGTCTTCAGAGGTCGGAAACTTTTGTGTGTTGTATCGTTATCTTAAACGTTTGATCTCGATATCCAATGTGGTCACTTTTAAATGTGGGGCTCAACACTGGACCCTGTAATTAAAGTTTTGGCCACCACGGAATTCCGCAGAGGAATTACATTAATCCGTAAATCTGAATAAGATGGAGATCGAGGGTTGATCCCGAGATTCTCAACTAAAAAAATCTGATTTCTGACAAACGTAACATTCTGCACAATTTCACAAAATCAGCCTTGAAGAGATCCAAATGTTGAAGTGTGTAGAATTTGTGAATTTTTTTATTAATTTGTGAATTTATTATTAATTTCAGGGTAAACTAAACAGCCTTTGTGCTGTTTAATTTTATATTCGAAATTTATTTTGATCCACAACATACTGGAAAAACATCAAATAGTGTCTACAGAGGGGACCGTTGCTTTCCGCTCAAATTCTGAACGAAAAATCGGCTTTTTCTCCGGCCACAGTTGTTTTTAAAAAGTAAGACTTTTACCAATCAACAGGAATAGGCTGTTTAGTTTACTCTGAAATTACCCAAATAAGTGAACGTTCCCTGAATATTAAAAAACGGATGAAAAACAACGACCATCTCTATCCCTCCCTAGTTTATCCGAACTAATGACCCTAGAATCCAATCTAAGCTTAGAGAATCAGCAATCTAGGTAGAATCCATTTCAACTAATGTTTGGACACAAGTTTAAAAATACAGTGATAACCAGAAAACTCTGAAATGGAATCAATGTATAACTTTAAAAAGTCCAATACGCATGATACACATCAGTAATTGTGCAGTGTAAATATTTTATAAGCGTCTATAGTAAAACTATTTGCTTTGTAACAACATGAAATACATTTAAGTATTGCTTTATTACTTCCATTGTTTTCTGGTTATCACTGTACTTGACAAAAGAAAATTCAAGATTTTAGCGCCGATTTAATTAAGAATACATATCTCTAATTGGATAATGAGATAGATAGAAAGATAGATGTTACCGTCAAACTATTTCTATTGGTTCAGAATAGACAACACACACATGACTAAACCCTGATTGGATCAGGCGCTAATGGACTCGGCATACATGAGTGCATTAAGTGTCCTAAAAGTTAGATCACATGGTTGTCTATAAAAACACTAGTTCATACCAGGGATTCAAGTATGAAACCTTTTTTTTTTTTTTTTTTAACACAATAAATACCTATGTTTGTGGCAAATTTTATTTTTGTTTTAAGATTCGGATTAGTTTTTTCCCGATTGGTTTACTGTCAGCAACGATATTCTACTCATTTTTTTATCCGATTTACCTCCATGCCCTTGCAACATTCTCTAAACATCTAAATTTTTAAATGCCTTTTATACTCTATAAAGAACGCGGGAAACCGAATGGCAGAAAACCAAAAATCGGTTTATATTTATACGTGAACAAAAACAAAGACCTCATATTTTCTCTCAATAACCTGTAAAATTTATTAGCGTTTGTTTCCGATTATCATTAGAATTATTTATGATTCTGTCTTTCCTGCGGTTTATCTGCATTATTTTTCAGATAAATTAAATATTATTTATTATTATATACAATGATGAATAATCTATTGTTTATATCTATCTACTCAATACACATAGTTAATCTAGATTTCTGTATTATCCCAAGACCGACCCGACATCTTTGTATCTGTACTTTTAACAAACATCTAGATCGTGTCTCAGACTCACGTGAATTTAACGGTTCTGTCAACATATCAGAAAGCTGTGGTTTTCGATCACAATTTGAACCATTATACCTAATATTTTAGCCTTTTTCCTGAAATACTTTTTTGTCGGCATGTACAGGGTGTCCCAAAAAACATGGGAATTCAGTGACGAATTCGATATCGTCTTTGTTATGAATTAGCATTGTAATACCTAATTTCAAAAGCAATAATATTATTATGTCTGCCAGAGTTTATTTTATGAAAAGGGTAAAAGACTGTAAAGATGTGTCTATAATGTCTCCGCACGATGAACAGTGAAGACGGACAAGTTTACTCTGTTTGTATACTGCAATTTTCTTGTTTTACTAAGTACAACCGTATGCAGTCAAAACATAAACAAACAAATTGTAAACATATAGCAGACGAAACTTTTACAGATTACAGCTTTCTTATTAGGTATCACTATACTAAATCAAAGAATTATTTAAAAAGACGATATCGAATTCGTCACTGAATTCCCATGTTTTTTTGGGACACCCTGTACATTATAAAATAATATTACCAACTTTTGCAAACTAACAGCCAAACCTGTCATAACTGAATTTAAAAAAAACTACCCCCTAGATACTACACACTGCACAGTACACAGTACACAGTACACACTACACAGTACACAGTACACAGTACACATATGAAATTGATGGGGAATTAATTACCTGTAAACCTTTTTCAGCTTGTCACAGCTACTGATGTCCATGGCTGTGAGGCCCCGTCTTTAAACATTCAAAGTTTTTGCACTTATTACAGGCTTCACAAGGACCTGAGATTTAAATCTTATTTCAAAATTGCTAGACAAGATTGATTTTACTGCACAAAGCTAATGTTTTACCCTGATCAAGGGTATTAAAAAAAACGATTTTTCAAAACGGAAAACGGAAATCGTTTTTAAAAATTGTTTTGGTTAATATCTTTGATCGGAGTAAAACTCTTACGGAACTAAATTGACCTGGAAAAAAATGAAAACGTAGGGTTTATCATGCATATATTCATGTTATTCACATTCGATTAGAAGTTGTCCAATTAATCCTTTAAAATTAAACAGAACACAAACATCCAAGGCAAAATATTTTAAAAAGAAAGCTTAATAAACTTAAATTTATTTTATAATATAATTTATCGTCTAGTGGTTCCTATTAATAGATTTGAAACTTGTAAATGTCAAAGTAAAGTTTAAAGACAATAATAGCCCGGCAGTTATTGATTTTAACGTCAGTGAAGTTTATACTGTACTGTTATATAATTTCATAATTTGATCTGCATTTGTGCTACATTTTAAATGTATTCGGGAAAGAATTGAGTCTTTGCCACAACCTTAAATTTTCTAATCATCATATCTTCGCAACCTGATTAATATTCCAAAATTATTACATTTGATTTTCCAGAATTCATAGTTTGAAATATAAGACTACATAGTTACATACATTGAATCCCCCGGGGGTTTAAATTTCCATTGATTCTAATTTGTCTGAGATTAAATGATACAATTCTTTTGTCTTTTTATTACAAGACATGTATGTAAATTTTTTAAGATTTAAAAAAAATGTTACCGAACATTTGGAAGTTTATAACCAGAGATTAATAAGGACTGTAAGCGTAAATATTTGAAGTGACCCTCCAATTCCATGAAAAGATGGCAATGTACGATTTACAACGATACCCTTGTCAGCTTTGTCTGATTGTCATAAATATAGAGGCCCCATAGTAAATCTAGATAAATTACGTTGTACATTGTCCAAATGCGATCATTAGTAAATACGTAAATCATGTATTGCGATTAACCCAATCTAGATACGTAGATATATATAACTCCATCAAACGCATTTTGTGATTGCTTAACTACGTTATATATAACAGCGCATAACTTGAAATTGCGTTGTTAAAACTTAACTTTAATCTAACATCTAGAAATATACTCAGTTGATATAGAGACACTGCTTTGATTGCTGTGAGAGAGTAATCATGTCCTTGTTCTAAACGAATGAGTTGAATATTGTGCCCATTGTTTTGGCATTGATAGTTGCGTGCTTGTGTCCCTGTAGACATTGATAGCAGATTGTGCCCATTGGTTTGGCATTGATCAATTAAGTGCTTGTGTCTGAGTAGACATTGATAGCTGATTGTGCCTATTTTTCTGGAATTGATCAATTAAGTGCTTGTGTCTGTGTAGACATTGATAGCTGATCATGCCCATCGGTTTGGCCTTGATCAATTATAAGTGCTTGTGTCTGAGTAGACATTGATAGCTGATTGTGCCTATTTTTCTGGAATTGATCAATTAAGTGCTTGTGTCTGTGTAGACATTGATAGCTGATCATGCCCATCGGTTTGGCCTTGATCAATTATATGCTTGTGACCCTGTAGACATTGATAGCTGATGGTGCTCATTGGTTTGGCATTGATTGATTATGTGCTTGTGTCCGTGTAGACATTGATAGCTGATTGTGCCCATTGGTTTGGCAATGATTGATTATATGCTTGTGTCCCTGAAGACATTGATAGCTGATCATGCCCATTGGATTGGCATTGATCGATTAAGTCCTTGTGTCTGTGTAGACATTGATAGCTGATCGTGCCCATTGGTCTGCCATTGATCGATTTAGAGCTTGTATCCGTGCTGACATTGATAGCTAATCGTGCCCATTGCTTTGGCATTGATCGCTTAAGAGCTTGTGTCCTGGTTGACATTGATAGCTAACTTAGTGTCCATGGTGACATCGATAGCTGACGAGATTGTGTCAGGGTTTAGACATTGATAGCTAAGTGAAACTGAATTGTACCTGGATAGATACGGATTCGAGAAACCTTTCTGGAGTAGGGCATTTACTACATGATTATATAAATTTATATCAATGTTTTTGCTTCTTTAATATGTTAATTTTCATTTGTGGTTTCTCTGTGAAAGTGATTTGCGCATTTCTTGTTTATAAGAAGCAATGTTGAAACTAACAAACACTTTTGGAGTTAGATAAACGACAGCATCTTCCATATTTTTGAACAGATTAAGGTTTCAAGGGTACCGTTGTAAATCGACATTGCCATCTTTGCCTGAAGGGTCACTTGAAATTACGCTGACTGTCTCTTTAAGTCGTCTCTGAACTCATATGAAGATGTTTATTTTGTACTTTTTCACATAACCTTTCTCTCCTCATGTTTTCGTAACTCTAAACTCTGTTATTGCCAAATAATTAACTAAGCCATTAGATTAAATTATCTTAAAGGGAGTGACCGGCTATGTAAGGTTATAGTTGAACCGAGTATGCAGTGTTTTGGACAACTTCTTTTGGATTCATTTGAGACATATTAAACTTTTTAAAGATCTGTAAATCCTGAGTTTGATCGCAAATTCGATGTTCAAAACTCCTGCGTTTTCAGAATTAGTTTTTTTAAATTATTAAATAACGACGACATAAAATGTATTGAAGAAATGTATTGACAAATTTCTATTGAGAAATATGTTCCTAATTATCTAATTAGATTACTGTATAATTTTTACTTTATTTTTTGTTGTCGTTATTTAATAATAAAAAAACTAATTCTGAAAACGTATCCACCCCCAAAGTTGGAGTTTTGAAAGTCTCAAATGAATCCGAAAGAAGTTTTCCACAACAATGCGTTCTCAGTTCAACTACCTTACATAGCTGGTCACTCCCTTAAAACAGAATTAATAATTTCACCTTGAGATCGTCACATTTTTAGAGCTTCTGATCGTCTTTACATCATCGGAATTTCATAAGAATAAGACAGAAAGGAAAATATATTCTTCAGAAGTACGATGGTTAAAGTAAATTATAACTCATCATTTCTTTACAGGACGGAAACCATGGGAGAAAGTGTTTTTACTTCATAAAAGCTTTTTTGTCCCGAACATGTATTTATATCTACATATTTATAGAGGGTGTCTCAAAAAAATGCTATTCTTTTGATTCATAGTTTCATTTTTAATTGTTTGGAATTTTCAAAGTTAATTGCGGTCATGTTAAGTTTTGCTATCATTGTAATTCTCTTTTTATTTGTAATCTGTTTTTCAAAATAGATAGATAAGTTAATGCAAAATTAGGTTTCTAATATTTTTAAATATGTCGAAAGAAATTTTCAACCTTGCCAAAATTACAAACTTAATTTAAACTGGTATAATTTTGTGCTACAAACCTCNCCATCGGAAATGTTACATACATTTTAAATGTTTAAATCGAATCATGCAGAGCTGTAGTTTGTAAAAGACCGTTTTTAAAACACCCTGTATTTTCTGGCGGTTTAAACAGTAGAAGGAAATAAAGGAAAGTAGCTGGAATTTTGTATTTGCAAAGAGGGATAGAACCTCAAAGAATGAATCTAAAATCAAATATCTTCTAAATTGTATTAAATCAAAATTAAACCAAAAAAAAGTTAGAAATAATGTATTTAACGTGTTGTTGAAAACGTAAAATCAATTAATTGATGCTGTCAAAGTAAAAAGATTTTTTTCTAGCTTTCTCGATAAAGAAAAAATAATTGAAACCAATTAGAGGTGACAACAAAAAGCTCTCACAAAGCTAGTTTATTTAACTAATTGAAAATGAACCTTTTCAGTTTCCTGAATGCGGGTCTTATGCAGAAACCCTCTGGGAAAGATCCCGCACTGTACCGGAAGCACAGAACCGGTTCCGTAAGGTTCTTCTACGTGGTCTTTAACTTCCACATCCGGCTGTATAAAGGTCTAGTGAATACCCTGATTCAACTGAAAGCGGGGATACAGGAGCAGATCATCAACCACACCTTCCTTCTCACCTATCAGTACATGATCAGCTTCATGATGCCGTTAGAATACATGAAGGATATCATGGAGAACTTTCAGGTAAAATTCACATTCAATGGAGTGTCCGATTAACAATGAAAAAATCTTTAAACCCTTCATTAGAGTATCAATATGGAAGATATCCTTGTTTTCTATTTTTAAAACCTTCTAAGTCTGAAAGGTTTAAAGGGAACCGTTGGAAATCACTTGAATTGACGTCTCCAGTCCTTTCAGTCTAAGACTTTGTAAATATAGTTCAAAAATAAAGTGTGCCATCCAGAATTCACAACAGCAACTCATGAAAGCTTTTAATGTTTTTGTATTTGCACGTTAAAAAGTCTTCATGGAAACCCAAGAATGTTTAAATATGTATGTTAATGTCAGAATTATTGTAGTCTGTAAATGTTTGCTTTTAGTACACAATGCAAAACTTGTACACTAAGAAATTATGTAAGCAGTAAGAAAAACAAACCTTGCTTTGGTTTGTAGACAAAAAAGTTGTGAAAGTACAAACAAATATTATCAATGGGAAAAGCGCCAAACTTATTCCTTTTTTGAAATTGGCTAGTTAAGATTTTAATTTTTTTAACTTGAAGCATGAAATTAGCCTGAAATGTTTCAGGATTTTACCACTCCCTCTCACTTAAATCCAGTAGATCAAATTCATACTTTTTTGAAAATGGTTATTCTAAATTTTTTATCTTCAATTTATAGTTTTTTCTACTTGAAGTCAATTAAAAAAAAAATTGAATTTGGCCATGGTTAGTTTTAGGATTTTACTACCCAGTTGACTGTTGGCCAGTTTCATACTTTTTTGTAATTGGCTATACAAAATTTTCTAGCTTTAATTTGAAGTTTCTTTAACTTTTAACAACATCAAGGGAATAATGTTATATTGGTCTCTGAGACACAAGCAAAAAGAGTGATTTGTTGATTGAAAACTAACTTTTAGACAAGATTTTTGCCCGAGGGTTGAAAGCTTTCAATCAAAAATGTATTCATCTTTCTTTTAACGTCATTGCTAATTGAGAAAGAATTTATAAAATCAATTTTAAAAGATCTAAATCTTTGTTTTTCCTGCTTTTAATAGAAATGAAATGGATTCATTGTCTGTAGAAGTCCATTGAATTAGAGCTTATTGTCTCTTTAAATGAAACTTCAGTTCTTTAGTTTTATTAAATCCAGAAATATTTTCTTGCTTCAGGCGTTCTGTAATCAGACCAGCCTACACGGTTGGCAGTACATTACACAGAAACCAGAAACTGATGGCTTCTGGTCAGGTAATAATTTATTTGGCTTGTACACTGTAAACTCTGGTTCATTTGACGTAACTTACTGACTTACAGTCAGCTAGAGCTTAGACTGGGTGTTGTTCCTGATGAATGATCATTCTTTCAAGGAATTAAACGAAACGAACGCGTTAAAAAAGCAGAAACACGCCCAGCGCAATGGCTGGGCGTGGTTCCTGGGGAACAATCGTTCCTTCAAGGGAATGATCGGAACGAACTAACGATAAAAAAGTAGGAACTAGAGCGAGTAGTTCATTTGGTGTACCGTCCTGTTTAGCTGGTGTTAGTCAGGTAAATTGTATACTGTACAACCTGGGCTATACTGGTACAGTCCTTTAAATGGACCATAGGTTTCAGGGGTGTATGCTTGGTGTCCTGCGTGGAGAGCCTATCCTTGCGTGTAGAGCCTAACAGTAACCCCTATGTGTTTTAACCATTTCAATGCAATGTTAGACATTAGTAACAATTGAGAAACATTTTTAATTGTTTGTTTACATAAATTAATTTTTAATTGTTTGTTTACATAAATTAATTTTTAATTGTTTGTTTACATAAATTAATGCACATCTATTTCCTCGCAAATGTTATCTCCCTTTCAAACTATCAAACAATCATTATTTCTACGAAACATAGATAATCTTTATGCGAATAACATATCAAAATACATTTATAAATATTTAAAAGTGTGAAAACATTGCTTTTGATGTCTAAAATAGTGTTGAAATGAGAAACTAGACGGAAGGCTCTTTATGAAGGCCCCCTCTGCATGACAACGAGGATTAAATAAACTGAGCGTCAACTAAGTGGCCCCTAGTTTAACCAGTTTCTGCATCAGCTAAGCCCAAAACTTAAGACAGGGTATCGTTGTGAAAACCAGTTTTAGAACCCAGGTTTCACGAATAGGGTTAGGCAGTTTTGTGAATTTTAATATTTTTGTGATGAAATATTATTTTATTTAGTTTATTCATATTCTCCATTTTTTCGAATTTCTTAAATTAAAATCTACACAAATGTTAAGACCCCAAAAAGGAAACCCGGAAGCAAGGATGTAATGCAAGGCAAGTTATTTCAGAAGTGTACACATCTTTTGTACTGCAGTGTACTGTCTCTGGGCGCTAATGTAAACACAAGACGGATGTCGAAACCTGACATGGGATCCATCATTCACAAAAAAAATCAATGAAATATTCTGGTCATAGGAAACTATTATGTGAATTATCAAAATTATCAAAATTTAATGCTTTTAACCTCCTCGGATACTAAACGAACACTGAGGCATCTATTATTGTTTACAAATTCCGCCCAGAGAGAACTGGTTTCACAGAGTATACACAACCGCAATTGACTTTCCATGCATTACACCCTTGCCCGGAAGTTTCCTTCAACAACACTCTTTTAAATTTCGGGCTCTGTCTGTCGTGTACATATGTACGGCATGGTATTGCCTATCCTGTTTGTTCACAAAAAAAACCAGTTTATTTTTGTTTGATACCTTTCTCTGTTGACTTGACTAATAAATAATAACAGTAAACAAAGTAAACAAACCCTTAATGAATATACAATTATTCATTGTATATGTCGATGCATTGCTTAAACTGGTCAGTCAAGTTTAGATAGCAATTAAACTATGTATTTGTTATCTAGAGTTTGATTGCTTTTAACACGTGTATTTCAGGATTTAATTATGTATGCAGTGCTTCAGGATTTTAACTAATGTATCTCCGGATTTAAACAAGTCTATTTCCGGATTTAAACACATGTTTTCCGGCTTAATATACATGTATTTCAGGATTTAAACACGTGTTCTGGTCGATTATTGTCTGTGTTGCTATGGGATGTGCTGCACTGTTCCTTTATACAAATACTATAGACTTTATGAACGCTACAGTAGTCACCACAGTGGACACTATGACAGTTCCTCTTTCTGAGGTAAATTCTACTTAAACTACTGTACATATTTACTTAAACTTTTGTACATGTTTACTTAAACTACTGTACATGTTTACTAAAACTACTGTACATGTTTACTTAAACTACTGTACATGATTACTTAAACTACTGTACATGTTTACTTAAACTACTTTACATGTTTACTTAAACTACGGTACATGTTTACTTAAACTACTGTACATTTGAACTTTAACTACTGTATATATGTCTTCTTTAACTACTGTACATGCGTTCTTTAACTACTGTACAATTGTACTTGAACTACTGTACAATTGTACTTGAACTACTGTACAATCGTACTTGAACTACTGTACAATTGTACTTTACCTATTGTACATGTTTACTTTAACTAATGCTCATGTTTTTAACTACTTTACAATTGCATTTAATGTCCCTACTAAACGCGGCTACATCTTTGGTCAGTGTACTGCAAATTACTGTAGAAAGCACCGAAAGCTTAGTTGAGGATGATGTACATGTGTATTATGTATTTTAACTACTGTACTGTAATTGCAAAAGTTTTACATATTGAAAAGTAGTGCCCAAACAAATTCCACAATTCTTCAGTTTTTGTTCAATTGAATGCAAATTAAAGTTTCTGTTGTCTTGAAAAAGAAAAACAATTTCCAAGCTCAGTTTATGTTATCAAATGTGTTGCAATTAAGAAATCTGCATTCCCATTTCGCGCAATTTTTTCTATTTAATTGCAACTCCATCCATCCAATCTTTAACTAAACTGGGAACTTGATGATTTATTTGTAAAATAATATTAAAGATTTTTTCAATATTTCTAAAAATATTTTAGGTTTTCTTCCCCTCCGTTCTAGTGTGTAATATAAACCAGGTAATTAGCTAATTGGACGAAATCTGTAAAAAATATTTTTCGTTTTTGCAAAAAAGTTTTCTAGACATTTTTCAGCTTTATGCCGTGGTAAGTCTTGCACAACAAAGTTCCGAACTTTTGAATTGTAGAACGTTAAAGTTAAAATCTTTAAAAACCAAACAATCAGAGAAAATCTGCTCTTGACCAATGAGAGGTTGCAGAAATTTGATCCATTTAACGAAGCCAGGACTTCATTGCAGTTTTGATTTATTTAAAAGTTTCGACCTATTTGATTTATTCAAAAGTTTCGACCTATTTGATTTATTCAAAAGTTTCGACCTATTTGATTTATTCAAAAGTTTCGACCTATTTGATTTATTCAAAAGTTTCTACCTCAATGAAAACAAAAATGACTTTATCAATTTTGTAGGATTACTGGATAGTTTGCTCGATTGAAATTTCATTATTTTAAAACCTTATTTTCGACAAAACCTTTGACAAATATCAATTTAAAATTTTAATTTTTTTTCAGGTTCGAAAATCTTTTTTCTCCGAACTAGGGATATACGACAATGAAACCTTTATTCGACAAGTTTATTATGATTTCATTCTTGGAAAAGCAAACCAGTCATACGAACCAGAAAACCATCAGGTTATTATTATTATTGGTGTTATCATTATTAATAGTATTGTTATTATTATTATTATTATTATTGTTAATTATAATTATTATTGTTTCTAGGCATCTGCCAGGAAACGGCAAGTGCATGAACAGATAATGAAAGAATATCTTGCCAAGTAAGGGAAAAAATATTATTTAAAAGTTTTAAAAAGTTTAGTCTGGCAAGGGAGAAGTGCAGGAAATGAATTTACCAACAATCAATGGAGAAGGATAGTTTTCTCATAGAAATAGAACTAATCTCATTTCTGCACAACAATCATCAGATCTTAGAGGTGTGGGACAAACCATAGATGGCAAAGATCTAGGGTATGTGACGTGTACAACCAGAGTACTTGACCATCTAAATTTTTTTCACGGGCAATGCCGGGCCCTTCAGCTAATATTCAATAACTATATAACTATTGAAAAGAATAAAAGGAATGCTATGTTAAAATCGAATATATAGCTATATAACTGTTATGAAAGAATTAGAGGAAAGCTATGTAAAAGTAAAATATATCTACTAGCAGCGTTGCACAGGCTACTCATGTTACTCCCGCCGTTTACCCGCACTTAGGCAATTTTTACCGGGAAACTAACTATTTGCTATAGAAGTCGACCCACTCAACTTAAAATAGCAAATCAGTCCAGGGGTTTCTGAGTTATGATCAAATAAACAAACAGGCAAACAGATATTACAGATATAACTGTTATAAAAGAATAAGAGGAAAGCTATGTAAAATTAGAATATATAGGTATATAACTGTTATTAAAGAAAAAGAGGAAAGCTATGTAAAATTAAAATATATAGATATATAACTGTTATAAAGGAATAAGAGGAAAGCTATGTAAAGTTAGAATATATAACTATATAACTGTTATAAAGGAATAAGAGGAAAGCTATGTAAAATTAAAATATATAGATATATAACTGTTATAAAGGAATAAGAGGAAAGCTATGTAAAGTTAGAATATATGGGTATATAACTGTTATAAAGGAATAAGAGGAAAGCTATGTAAAATTTGAATTTATAGCTATATAACTGTTTAAAAAGAATAAGCGGAAAGCTATTTAAAATTAGAATGAATAGGTATTTCAGGGTTTCTGAGTTATGATCAAATAAACAAACAGGCAAACAGATATTACAGATATAACTGTTATAAAAGAATAAGAGGAAAGCTATTTAAAATTAGAATATATAACTATATAACTGTTAAAAAAAATAAGAGGAAAGCTATGTAAAAGTAAAATCTATAACTACATAACTGTTTTAAAGAATAAAAGAAAAGCTATGTAAAATTTGAACATATAACTATATAACGGACGTAAGAATAAGAGGGAAGCTATGTAAATTTTCAATATATAACTATATAACTGATGTAAGAATAAGAGGAAAGCTATGTAAAAGTAAAATCTATGCTGGGAAAACGCTTCATTAACCGTCTATTCATATAATCTGGGAAACTATATACACAGTATACACTTAGTCAACATTACATCTTATTACAGCCTCGTTTATAGCCCATCTATCCTCTTCTAATAATCAATTTGTGGGAACAGGAGGGTGGGAGGGCAGATTGCATACTGTCCTCTTCTACAAATCATATTCTGAGAACGAGAGGGTGGGAGGGCGGATTGCATACTGTCCTCTTCTACTAAACAATTTTTGGGAACAAGAGGGTGGGTGGGCAGATTGCTTCTTGTCCTCTTCTACTAATCAATTTGTGGGAACAAAAGGGTGGGAGGGCAGATTGAATACAATCCTCTTCTAGTAATCAATTTGTGGGAGCCAGAGGGTGAGTGGGCAGATTGCATACTGTCCTCTTCTAATAATCAATTTGTGGTAACGAGGTGGGGAGGGCAGATTGTATTCAACCCTCTTCTAATAATCAATTTTTGGGAACGAGAGGTTGGGAGGGCAGATTGCATACTATCCTCTTCTACTAACCAATTTTTGGGAACTAGAGGGGATGGGCAGATTGCATAATGTCCTGTTCTGACAATTACCAGGGGGGGGGGGTAGAGGTGAGCATGATTAAATAATAATATTCTGGATGAGAAGTGACATCTTTAATTCTCTGATTTATATCAATGCATTGTGCACTCAGGTCCTGTCCTTTAAATGCATTATTGTTCCTTCAGGTCAAAACATGTTGTTTTATCTGGTTTTTCTTCAGCTCAACTTGGCTAATAATTCTATTCCGGGTTCTCTTCTTACTTGATTTCTGGAAGGATATATGATGGATATAGAGACACCGGACCACTTGGGTTTCTTTTCAATTCCGTTGTGTCTACGTTGTATCTTGATCCATGAGAGCCATTCTCAAACGTCAGAACATGGCTGAGCCTAATAGACACTGAGGAACTTAAAAGTTGTCTTTGCAACCTGATGCACCCCGGACTAACCAACCATGGGGCGAGATGCATTAAGTTTATTCTAATTGAATTAAATCATGTGCTGGTCTATAATTCAACAATCTTAGAACTTACGGAGTTGTCTTTTTCGTTTAAAACACATATGCTGACAAAAAAGTATAAATAATTATGTTTAATAGGTAAAATTATGATTGAAAGTTACAGTTCTATGGGATACAGACCAAACCGTTAAATTCGCGTGGATGGTGTGAACTTTTCATATGTCATACTTTGACTATTTAATCTAAAAGAAATCATAGTTTGGAATATCAAAGGTCCATCAGGTTGCAAAGATGACAGGTTTAGAGTGTGAGGAGAGTAATCAGTTCATTTAGTTTAGGACCAACAGATATGGCAGTTTGTGTCTTAAAATCGAACTAATTATTCCTGAAAGGAAATTAGTCTTTGACACAAACTCTGATTTTCCAATTCCTAAATATTTGCAGTCCAATGTTGTAAACCTTAGATATTTCAAATTATGAATTCAGAGCTGAAAACTTTAGAATGGTGGATATCGAGATTAATGTTTGATCGTCTCTTTTTCTTAATATCAAGACTAACCTAATCTTGTACTTGTATCCTTAAATAGTGTATAAAATTCAATCAATCAGAGTCTTGTAAATGAAGCCGATAAATTTGAAATTTTGCGCGCCAGTTAAGATTAATATTCAGAAACGGGAGGAACTCGCTAATTTTAAAAAACCGGTTTTTGATTTTTTCTTCTATATCCAAGAAAGAACGGTTTAAGAAGAAAATCAAGAGTGTGTCCATTGGATACTCAGATTAAGTAATCGGGATAAGGGATATCTCATTCTAAAGTTTTCAGTTCAGTTAGAACAAATAATCTAAGTTTGAAATATCAAAGGTTTACACCATCAGGTTACAAAGGTTTTCTTGATTTCCAGAAAATCTGTTAAAAACTAAAACTAAGCATCTTGTAATACTAGAACGACTTGTTTATTCCTTTTGGCCAAGGAATATTAGAGCTTGGCATTAAGAAGAGCTGCAGGGTTGTTTACATTTTATTATCACGAAGCAGGACAACCCTACATATTCAGAAACTAACTTAAACTTTAGGAAAACGAAACGAGTTTGTTTTGATGAAAGAAACGATGTTTTTGTTAACCCACTAGTGCTGCGGTCACTGATACGTCCCCTATATACGTCCCCTATAAATTATTTTACATAAAACTCATTTTTTTCAATTTGAGTATTTGTCAAAGTTTAACGGTTCTATACATACCCATATTCAAGATTAGGTACACTTGTAAGGTTGAGATGTAAACAATTAAATCAAATCTATTTTTAACAGAAAGGTGCAGCCGTCAAGGTAATTTATCTAGTAAAAAACTAATTCAAACTATTTAAAAAAGTTTTTCATTTTTTCATTATATTCTTCGAAATTACATAATAGAATATTTCTATTATTTATATTTAGAAAATAAAAACAGTATTTTATGCATATTGGTTGGATCATAATGTATATGTGAGGTTTGAGTAAATAAAAATGCGCTTAAAACATCAAAGTACAGTGTAAGGACTACTTAAGTGAATTAGGAGTACATGGTGGGGGATGGGCCGGGAGTCAATGTATGTAAATAAAGGGATCAAAGGAGCAAATTTCACACACTATTTACATACTTTTTAAACATGAAGGAATAGAATACTTCATAGATTACAAAACAAGGGAGAAAAAATACTTTGAGATATGAGGGGGGGGATTTCATTATTATCAAATGTGATTTTTAAGACCAAAGAAATTACATTTTTATTTTGCAAAGAGTGGATTAAAGCAAGCTGTAAGAAACAAACCAACTAGGTGTCTCTGCTCAGAATCTGTATATGTGGTTACCATATATGATCTGTATCAAGGTGTGGGTGTAAGCTATCATCATATAAGAGATGTATCTGCAGATGCAGCAACACTTCTAGACTTTGTCAATCCACTGCTTTACAAGATAGAAGAAATCTTCCGTGTCGTATCTTTACAGTCAATTTTTTAGCAGTGTGAAACTTGTTGATTTATCACTGATACTTGTTATAATTTTACAGGGACAATGCGCAGAGATAGAGTTAAAGTTAACCCCAAGCTAATTCCTTTGTAAAAAGAGGATGCAATGGAACAAGATAAGTCTGCAACTGTAGTTCGATGGAATGATAATGCACCTGTTTGGATGCTTCCCTCTTTACCTGGTAACTTGCCAGAAAGAAGTTGTTCATTTAAAAACAAGTTGTTCATTTTATAACAAGTTGTTCATTTTATAACACGTTGTTCATTTTATAACACGTTGTTCATTTTATAACAAGTTGTTCATTTTATAACACGTTGTTCATTTTATAACAAGTTGTTCATGTTAAAATAGAAAATGGAAATCTTATCTGGAAATCCTTCAGCCTGATATACAAAGTCGAACAATACAATAAATTGATGGGTGGAGTTGGTAGATTTGACCAAAATAACAATCATTTAGGAATTAAGATAAGGGGTAAAAATGGGACTTAGGTATCCTGAGCTGGATTATAGATACTTTATGCACAATGCCTGGCAGAAAATTAGGTAGGAATAACATTGCAGTCCAGCTACCTTTAGTTCAGGCGTAATATTGTCAATGTGATTTTGAGAGATAGAGGTAGGAAAGTATGCATGATTAATGTAGGGCGAATTGGAAATCATGATATTCGCTATGCTGATACAAAACACCTTCTTATTGTGAGGAAGAATAAGAGATCTAGGTGTGCATTAGAGGTTTGTACATGTAAGTGATGTCAAACATGCTTTGATAAGTGTAGAGAGACATTTACTATAACCACTTTTTGGGTTTTCACAAGAAGGTTGGTGCGAATGATATTTTTTTTGAGAAAGAAACTTTTTTTTCTGCATTATTGTTCATTAAATATGTTTGAAATAAACAAATAGAAGTATTTAAGGTTAAATTAAGTCGGAGATTGCAGAAGTATGTTTAACCAGGGGAGAACAACCGTGAGCAGACAGTTTATGACCCAGGAACTCCAACTCAGGCACGGCGAATTCACACTTGGGCAAACCAATTGTCAAACCATGCTGACGACAAAGAAGTAGAACCTGGAGTAGATGATCAACATGCTCCTCCAAACTGCTGCTAAAGATCAGGATATCATCGATGTAGGTGAAGCAGTAGGGCAGGTCTCCAAGGATAGAATCCATCATCCTCTGGAAAGTGTTCCCTGCGTTCCTGAGGCCGAAGGGAAGACGCAGGAACTCGAACATCCCGAACGGAGTGATGATTGCAGTCTCACAAATATCTTCCTCAGCCATCGGAACTTGATAATACCCCTTCTGAAGATCTAGCTTAGAGAAGATGGTTGAACCAGTGACTCTAGAGGTGAAATCAGCAATATTAGGTAAAGGGTACCGATCAGGAACTGTAACTGTGTTCAGCCGTCTGTAGTNCTCGACTTGAACGAACCAGGCTTCTGCGGAATCTGGCCAAAAAGCTGGAACTTTAACTGACACTGTGTTTAACAGGTCCAATGAGCTTGGTTCGGCTCGGACCAGGACATTATCACCGTCCTTTGGCATTATCACTTGAGCGAGTAGCTTAAAAAACAGTCTATAGTGTTGCAAACGGACAGTCTATAGGATCGAAACTCGGGGTCACCAATTTGGCTACGCTCAATAATACACGTCAAGGTTTAAAGAAATACTTTATTAACTAATATTTTAAACCTAATTTATCTTAATCGAAAACATATATCAAGGTGACGTGGCAGGAATAGAATGTTCATCTTGCCGCGTCTGAATATCCGGCTTCAGCCTCTTCATCTTGAGTCGTCTTCCGCCACAAAATAATAGTTTCCATCATCAACAATCACCTATAAAAATTTTTTTTTCATTTTTTCATTTTTTCTATGATATATCATGATAGATATTTTAAAAAAAAGTAAAAAAATGCAAATTTTTTTAGATGTGTTTTTTATGTATTTTTCATTCAAATTTCATCGAAAACTATTTTAAAAAATTCTTCAGCCGCAAGTGGGTTTATTTAAAAAATTATTCTTTCGTTTTTAGTTTAATCACGTTCGTTTTTCCGTTGTGTGAAAACTACCCATCCCTCTAAAACTTTACTCCCTTTAAGGGGGTGTTCTCAAAATAATAGAAGGCATGTTCCCAATCCATTTATTTTCATGATTTAATTAATCTTTAATAAAACTTTACAAGTTTTTCACAAACAGCAAAATAAAAACAAATCTCTATCCAAGTAAATAATGGTGGTTGTACCAAATCACTAGACGTTGAGGACAATTTAGAATTAATATATTTCTCCTTTCTCTAGAACAGAAGAGTAAATATATATATATATATATATATTTTTATATTAATATTTATATATGTTTATATATGCAAACAGAGTTGGGAGCTAATCCTGTATTAATCTTTCATATTCAGTATAAGTCTGGATATAGAAACACTGGACTCAGATATTACAGAGTTATTAACAAAGGAAGAAACTTTAATGACGACCTCATACTTTCTTAAGGGACAAAAGTGTGGCATGTCCGATTCACACCCCTTTACATCTTTATCTGAGCAATAAGGAGGAATATATTGTCGTGTTTCTATTTTAAAAAGATTTGAATTTTCTAAAATACATTCGTTGTCTCTGCTGCAAATCCACAAGTTGCTTTAGAGAAACCACAGTTAAAGATTATAAACTAGAAGTAAAAAAGAAAGCCAATGCGACGGTTTAAAAAGAACCGTTTTGAATTGGGCATTCCCCTATAAAAGTACACTACAGTCCCTTTAACTCTCGGCGTTTTGAACCAGTTTTTTTTCTCACTTATGAATGATGATTATAGAATCGGGGAAGAAACTCTTGAAATTACGTTAACAGTCCCTTTAGAATATTTTAGCAAAATTTGAACTTCCAAAATACAAATAAATCCACCACTCTAAAGAAATATTCTAATTCAAAATATTTGAATTATTTCAAAACTTTTGAAGTTAAGCTTAGTGGAAATCCGGGAAATAATTTGAAATTAAGCCAGATTTCTAAATTCAGATTTTCTTTTTGCCTTTTCAGCTCATTTATTTTTTTCTCTTCATGTGCTCTTTAAACGTGATTCAGTGAAAGTGGAACAAAATCTTATATTTCTTTAGTTAATTTAACTAATTTTGTTGTTTACAAACTGGCAAAAATTAATGCAATTGTTGAAAAATCTCTTTCATCAATATTTCAACTTTAAATTCTGGAAAGTAAAGAACTTGGTCTGAAAACAGAAATTCCAGAAGTTCTGAATTCGATCAAAGTTTGCTTCAAAAATAATATAACCTAATTATGAGTTAATAAAATAAAACATATTTTAATTATGAATAGAATATAGAATAGGAACAACTCCAAAGTTATTGTGCATAAGACTAATTCAAAAACGCCAATTGAAATTAACTAAACTGAATTTTTGTAGTATCCCAACAATCCCAATTGAAACAGTTAAAAAAAAGTCTTAGGAATTCCAAAATTTGTTGCACTTTGCACAGATTCTAATTTATTAAATAACAACGAAGTCTTTCAAATATTTAATATTTTCGTCAATTTTGAAGATAAAAAGAAGGCAGACCATATTTTTGAAAGCTCATAAGATGTCGAGTCTTTATATTGAGACACACTTGGCCATTTTTAGAAACTAAAAAAAATAAAGACTACATTTTAGTTAAGATTAAATTATAAGTTAAAATTGTTACTGGAAAAAAACCTGAAGTGCCCAGCGTCCATAAAGTCTAAATATTTATAAATCATTTTTTCGAATATTTTTTTTAAAAATTGTATTTTTTAGACACAACGAGACTCTGGATACAAAGCTCTCAATAACTTGGTTTACTCATCAGAAGTGCAAGGATATGCATATTCTTTCAAAATGGAACGGAACTAAAACTTACAGGTATTAAATTAAATTAGAATTATACAGGGAAACCAATAAAACTGTGGATAAAGACTGTTATAACTCGAGTTATGATTTTAAATAGATCAACAAATTCAAAAAGCATTTGTTCTATTAAATACATGTTCATTTAAATTACAAAGTTAATTTTAAGCTACTTTATAACAATATCTAATACAGATAAAATTGTTTATAAGTCGTCTTCCTATTTCACAGACTTATTGGCCCTTTTTTTTAAATGATGATATTTGTTTGTTAAACTTTGTTTCAAAAAGAATTCAACCTTTTTTTAAATATTGTTTTTAGTTTAATCTAAATTTCATCCTCATTTCAATCATAATTTTAAGAAAACAGGGACCAAATTTAATGAATAGTGAGAAGTTATAGTTGAACCAAGTACCCTCGGCTCAACCAGTTTTCTGGTTAAGCGAAGTGGTTTAACTAGTCTATGATGCTCAACTTTTATTCCATATTTATCAAATTTTGTCCTTAATTCAGAATCGGAAAATTGAATTTGAAGTGTTAGTTTATTTATTGATATATTTTAGTCCTAATTTACAGAAAAAAAATCATTTTAAAGTTTATATTTATTTTTAGTTTTGAGATAGAACGAGATTTTGGAACTGATTACGGTATTTGTTGTTGGTACACCCCGCAGCTTAACTTCTCACATATATTAGAAAAGTAAGGAAAATAAACGCTTAAAGGGACTGTCCTCGTAATGTGTAGTGATCCTTAATTTTACGAGAGGCATGCCCGGTACCCTTGAACCCTTGATCTGCTCAATAAGTTGGAAGATAACGTGGTTTTCTAGATTAGAAAGTAATTAATTATTGTAATTTATTTATTGTTTCTGAAGCGAAAAGTGAGCATGTCACTCTCTTAGAAAAACCCCAAGTGAAAATATTCCAAAACATGAAAATCTAATTTACACTAGTACTTGATCGGATAAAGCTGTTAAGGGACCCTTAGTAAATCGGACATACCACTCTAACTATAGACAGTCACGTACAATCATGTTTATAGTCTCTTTAAACATTGAACACCAGACCCAATGAACACTAAACACTGAACACTGAACACTGAATACTGAACACTGTACACTGAATACTGAACATTGAACACTAAACACTGAACACTGAACACTAAGCACTAAACACTGAACACTAAACATTGAACACTGAACATTGAAAACTGAACACTGAACACTGAACACTGAACAGTGAACATTGAACACTGAACACTGAACACTGAACACTGACCACTGAACACTGAACACTGAACACTGAACACTGAACACTGAACATTGAATATTGAACACTGAACACTGAACACCGAACACTGAACACTAAACACTGAACATTCAATATTGAACGCTGAACACTGAACATCGAACACTGAACACTGAACACTAAACATTGAACACTGAACATTGAACACTGAACACTGAACACCGAACACTGAACACTAAACACTGAATATTGAATATTGAACACTGAACACTGAACACTGAACACCGAACACTGAACACTGAACACTAAACATTGAACACTGAACATTGAACACTGAACATTGAACACTGAACACTGAACACTGAACACTGAACACTGAACACTGAACACTGAACACTGAACACTGAACACTGAACACTGAACACTGAACACTGAACACTGAACACTGAACACTGAACACTGAAAACTGAACACATAACACTGAACACTGAACACTGAACACTGAACACTGAACACTGAACACTGAACACTAAACACTGAACACTGAACATTGAACACTGAATACTGAACACTGAACACTGAAAACTGAACACTGAACACTGAACACTGAAAACTGAACACTGAACACTGAACACTGAACACTGAACACTGAACACTGAACACTGAACACTGAGCACTTAACATTAAACAATAAACACTGAACAATGAATATTAAATACTGAAAATTGAACCCTGAACACTAAACACCATGCACTGAACACTGAACACTAAACACTAAACACTAAGCACTAAACACTAAACACTAAACACTGAACAATGAACACTAAACAGTAAACACTAAACACTGAACATTAAACACTGTTTACTGAAATAAATTAAAACGCTGAACATGCGTGTAATTAGTGAATAGATGTTCCGTGGCTCCAACTCTGTACAAAAAACTCAAATTTTCCTTAAACAAATTGAAAGAAGATGCTGCACCCTAATCACCTTTAGATAGCGTCGTTAGTATGGATCCTTGGAAACAGACTTTTTTAGTTTTTAATTTTAAACTTCTAAAATTGGAAAATAATAGCGAAGCAACAAAACAATTTCATTCATTCTTTTCTACAGTGGGTTGGGACCCTTAAACTAAGAAATAGGAAAACGACATTTAATCACTATTATGTATATTTATGTTGCTTTAAAGCAATAGTTTAGTTTAAAGGATTATTTAAGACCATACTCAGGAATCAAAAGGTTGCAAGCTCTCATGTAAAAATTAATTAGAATTTTTCCAATTATTTAAATTAAACTGAATCTTAAAACTAGTGATTAATTTTTTAACTGTACAACTACATAAAAGCATAAATGAGTCAGTATGGTAAAATCGAAGGTCAAGGCATTGCGACACCTTTAATGCTTTGTGCATTTCCATAAACCATAGTATTTTGGGTTCATACATACTTACCATTATACTATTATACCATTTTATAATGATCTGAAACCTGAAGGCGACATAATCATTTATTCTTTTCTTATGTATTGTATTTTATGTGCTTCTAATATATTCCTTTTCAATTCTATTCTATTTCAGCTTTCTACTCCTTTGTATTCTAATTTTAATTTAACAATGTTTCTTTTTCAGTTTTTAACATTTTGGATAAGTTATTGGAGAAAATATTTTTACATTTTTCATTCAGCATAAAAATTAGTTTCAAGTTTTAGTACGTTTTTCGATTTTAATTGATAGAAAGGTTTAAGAAGTGTGTATTTCAGAAGTTTTCACAATAAAGTGGATCCCAACAGCCTATTTTTATCCTTAGATAGAATTAAGTCTTTACCACAAACTTTGATTTTCTTATCCCCATGTCTTTGCAACTCATTGTTGTAGACCTTAGATATTTAAAACTATAAATTCTATTGGATTAAATAATCTAAGTTTGAAATATCAAAGGTTGCAAAAATATAGGGGTTAGAAAATTTCAGTTTGTGACATAGACTCAACTCCTTTGTTTTAGAAGCTCGTAATAAATAATCAAGTTTTCAAAAAAAAATGTTAGCTTTTAATACTGTTTTAAATGCAACCACTTTTACACATTTTCTGTTTTCTGTTTTCATTTTTTAATGCCCAAATTTTTTAAAATTAAATTTTTGAGCAAATTTTTATTTTATTTTTGAATGGTCATAAACCTTTACTGGGGCCTTATCAGTTTACCCCGATCAGTTTAGCCGTTTTGACGTTCATCACAAACAAACATGAAAACAGAGAGTTAAAGTAAAAAATACAATACATATTCTGTATATTGGGTTTAATGGGTTCTAAAGTGAAGGTTTGCCTTGATCTTGAATGTTCTGTATTTAGCGACCAAACTTACCATGAAGTAGTTGATCTACGTAGACTTCTCTTCTAATGTGCATCAGTCAAGGTGAAGAGAAATGGTTTAACTTAGTCTGCGTAGTTCAACTAATTCTCTCTTTATATGACATATGGTTTAAGGACTCATGAATCTGGCCACGAGGAACCGGACTGGGGACACTGGTTTATGAACGTTCCAAAGGTAATAATGGGATTGTTCAACGGTTTATGAACGTTCCAAAGGTAATAAAAGGATTGTTCACTGGTTCATGAACGTTCCGAAGGTATCAAAGGGATTGTTCACTAGTTTATGAACGTTTAATGGTCAAAATGGGATTGTTCATTGGTTTATGAACGTTCTAAATGTAATAAAGAGATGGTTAACTGATTTATGAACGTTCCAAAGGTAATAAGACTGGTTCATGAACGTTAAAATGGTAATAAATTACAATTTTTGCTAGTGTTCATTTCCTTTATAACTTTAAAAACAATATTATGGCGACAATATCTTTGACTCAATCATATATATGGTGTTTAAGTCATTTAGTTTTTTTCGAAAACGGATATACAAACAGACAAATAGGCAGATAAATGTAAAATAAAGAATCTTATTCATCTCTTGATTTCGGATATCCGAGACAATATAGCTTTAGTAGAAGTAAATATTTCCATTTGATAGAAAACAGGGGTGTATATAATTCCATTTCCCCCCCCCCCGGGTGGGGAAAGAAATCAAAGGTCACAAAAGAGGGGAAGGGGAAGGGAAGGGAAAGGGNAAACTGAAGTTTCCAGACAGTACTCCAGTCCAAACTGAAGTTTCCAGACAGTACTCCAGTCCAAACTGAAGTTTCCAGACAGTACTCCAGTCCAAACTGAAGTTTCCAGACAGTACTCCAGTCCAAACTGAAGTTTCCAGACAGTACTCCAGTCCAAACTGAAGTTTCCAGACAGTACTCCAGTCCAAACTGAAGTTTCCAGACAGTACTCCAGTCCAAACTGAAGTTTCCAGACAGTACTCCAGTCCAAACTGAAGTTTCCAGACAGTACTCCAGTCCAAACTGAAGTTTCCAGACAGTACTCCAGTCCAAACTGAAGTTTCCAGACAGTACTCCAGTCCAAACTGAAGTTTCCAGACAGTACTCCAGTCCAAACTCAAGTTTCCAGACAGTACTCCAGTCCAAACTGAAGTTTGCAGATCTGTCTGCATCTCTTGGACAGCTACAGAAGAACCAAGAAAATCAGTCTCATGTCCCTGTAGACTTTTTTACTGTTTAATTAAGTAAGAATGAGTAAATTTTTTTTGATGATACTATAATAAATCTAAGAAGAGTTTAATCTATGTCTTTTGAGTTGTCGAGTTTGGGGAAGGAATTCAAAAAAAATTTAGAGGGGGGGGGGGAAAAGAATCAAAAATATGGAATTATATACACCCATGTAGAAAGATAGATGCTACCACCATACTATTTCTATTGGTTCAGAAGAGACAACAAACACATGACTGAACCGTGATTGGATCAGGCGTTAACGGACTCGGCATACAGGAGTGGAGAATTCTCTGTTCTCTCATTAGTTGAACGCAAAATTTCCTGGCTGCCGATTGGCCGTTCGTTTTCCGCATACGAGATTAGGTTCCGATTTGGTTTAATTTAAGACCCTTTACAGAATATCGGAAAGAATTATATTAATTTGTATTTTAACAAAAGGTCAAATCAATGCTTATTTAAGATTTCCCAGCTGTGGCTCCTTTTATTGTGCTATTTTATTCGATTCTCTCCCTTTGTTGAATAATAAAAATACTTTTGTACCTTTTTATTATTGTATTTTTTTAACACCTTGTTTCTATTGTATTATTTTAATACCTTGTTTCTATTGTATTATTTTAATACCTTGTTTCTATTGTATTTTTTTAACACCTTGTTTCTATTGTATTATTTTAATACCTTGTTTCTATTGTATTATTTTAATACCTTGTTTCTATTGTATTATTTTAATACCTTGTTTCTATTGTATTATTTTAATACCTTGTTTCTATTGTATTATTTTAATACCTTTTTTCTATTGTATTATTTTAATACCTTGTTTCTATTGTATTATTTTAATACCTTGTTTCTATTGTGTTTTTATGGAATTTGTTTGAACATTGCCTGTAAAAGTTTTAATACGCTGTCCAGTGTCCAATAGTGGTGTTCTCAAGATAACAAAATTTAAGTGAAAAAGTTTTATATCAAAAGGATTACAAAGTTGTACAGTCTTTTTTTTTTTGAAAATCTCTGGGCTTTTAACAATTTTGTTTATAAAATATATCAATTAGCTTTTACAAATTGAGGCCGTAACAGGAATTTTTCCTGAAGAGAGGCGCAAATTAAAATTTTTTGGGGGGAACGGTGAAAACCTCCCCATGGAAACCAATGCCGCATCTTTTACAGGGGGTGGCGGGGTTGTACTTGTAAGAATGTTCTTGATTGTTTCTTACGAATCGGACCGAACACTGCACAGTCAGGGTGTAAGGAATATTCCTTACTCCCTGTGCACAGTACACATCACTAAGAATTATGTTACGTGTCAATAACAACGACCCCAGGAGAATTTTTTAATTATTTAATGGCTTCCATACAAATAGAATTTTCTGCGGAATGAAAATGTGAAGAACATTATTTTAGAACAATTAGAATATGTATTAAATCTTTAGCAATATTAATTTCCGCTTTTACTTAATAAGATTTTTTTTTATCATAATTCATTGCTTTTCCCCTAAAAAATCATTTATGTTTCCCAATTCAGGGAATTAAACCCTAAACAGTTCTTGCCGCTCCGCGAAATAATAAATATTTTCTTGGAGAAAAATATGATTTAAAAAGGGGGGAAGAGAAATGTTTGTTTTTAATTAAATATACACCCCTGTCAAATCAGTTCAAATTTAAGATTTCCACGGATGGATATTGTTCAGGGTGCGAAGACAGGGAAGGATAACGGTTACACAATGCTCTTCGATATCGAATCCTTCGACTACAGTTACTATGACGAGGGTAGTGAAGGGCTCAAGCTGGCTCTTGTTCATCATCTGGATATGCCGATCATGAGACAAAAAGGGTTTCATATAGCTCCAGGTAGGGTTTCATATAGCTCCAGGTAGGGATTATATAGCTCCAGCTACAGGGTTCATATAGCTCCAAGTTAGAGAAGCATATAGCTCTAGGTAGATGGTTTATATAGCTCCAGGATGGGTTTATATAGCTCCAGGTAGGGTTTATATAGCTCCAGGTAGGGTTTATATAGCTCCAGGTAGGGATTATATAGCTCCAGCTACAGGGTTCATATAGCTCCAGGTTAGAGAAACATATAGCTCTAGGTAGATGGTTTATATAGCTCCAGGATGGGTTTATATAGCTCCAGGTAGGGTTTATATAGCTCCAGGTAGGGTTTATATAGCTAAAAGTAGGGTTTATATAGCTCCAGTTATATCTTTGTATATTTGACTTTCATTTTTCCGATGGTTCCTTTTCATTAAATTTTTAATGAAAATATGATTTTCAATAATTCGTAATTTCCAGCTTATTTTCGAATCTTCATCCTACTTTAAAGGATTCCAAAAATATTGTTTTTATCAAAATGATCTTTTCCATAAAGAGTATTTTCGGATTATGTACTTTTTAAAAATATTGGATTGAAGTAAATATTTTCCAGCAATTTCTTTTAGTTTGATTCTTATACATTTTTTCAACCTTTTTATGTAAACAATTAAAAGGAGTGTTCGCAAAAAATGAAAGGGGGTATAGGCTTAAGGCGAAAAATAAGTGCTTTTGATTACTACAAATCTTACTTCTATCTGTAGCGTCTATAAGGAGAAAATTGTTAAAAACAACTCAAAAATGAGAACGACATTTTCATATTTTCCAGGAATGTTCGGATGTTTGAAAAAATCGATGAGTATTGGTTGTAATATCTGAATGAATTTTTTGGAATTAGAATGATTATTTTACGATCCGAGTTGAATGTTGCAACTTTCTTAATTTGAATGGACGCTATAATGTTCTTCAGCATGAGTCGTTTTCAACAATTTTCTCTTGATAGATGCAACAGATAGAAGTTAGATATTAGTAGTGATCAAAAGCGCTGATTTTACGCCGTAAGCTTATACCTCCTTTCATTTAACTCGAACATTCCCTTTTAAAGAATGGTTCAAATTTAAAGGTTTCTAAAAAGGTTTAAAACCATTTAACGACATAAAGTAATATTAATAATAACAATAATAATGTCTAAAGAAAAGTAAAAAAAAAATTCATTTTAAATGTCAGATTTATAATATTATTATCTTTTTATTTTTGCATAAATTCAGGATGAATTTTCTCAGCTACAGTTAAAGCCAACTAGACTTTTCCATGAAAGTTTTCCGAAATATATTCGGAACCTATAGAGTGATTCCCATATTTACAAAATACTATTCGGAACCTATAGAGTGATTCCCATATTTACAACATACTATTCGGAACCTATAGAGTGATTCCCATATTTACAACATACTATTCGGAACCTATAGAGTGATTCCCATATTTACAAAATACTATTTAGGTTTTTGAAAACTAAATTCAAAATACAACATGGTGTTTAATAATTTGTAATTTTTCTCTCTAATATCACGAGGAAATTATCTAAATTGTTTTCTTTCAAAAAAATGATTAATGGTTTGAACACTGAACAGTGTAGCACAGTTTAAAGGGACTGTATTTTAAATGACCCTCCATTACAGAGGTGGAATTCCGATTCACAACAGTCCGCTTAAAATCTTTCTTTTAGAAAGGTTATCCATTTTTTCATACAAAAATTAAAGATTGTGGGTTTTCTATAAAAGTGCTTTGCGGATTTATGTAATTCTACACGTTTTAATGGTTTTTTTGGAAATTTGAAAACCATTTCAGTAAAACCTGACCTTGGTGATCAATCAAATGCTTAAAGGTTAACGTTTTAAATCGTGCATTCCCTTCTGTGCATGGAGGGTCACTTGTAATTACGCTTACAACCCCTTTACATGGAGGGTCACTTGTAATAACGCTTACAGCCCCTTTACATGGAGGGTACTCGTAATTACGTTTACAGTCTCTTTACATGGGGGGTCACTTGTAATTACGTTTACAGTTCCTTTACATGGAGGGTCGCTTGTAATTACGCTTACATTCCCTTTACATGGAGGGTACTTGAAATTACGCTTACAGTCCCTTTACATGGAGGGTCACTTGTAATTACGCTTACATTTCCTTTACATGGAGGGTCACTTGTAATTACGCTTACATCCCCTTTACATGGAGGGTCACTTGTAATTACGCTGACATTCCCTTTACATAAAGGGTCACTTGTAATTACGCTTACAGTCCCTTTAACAAAGAGGAGAACTTGAAGAATTTTTCTATCAAATTATAGTTCTCGACAACTTAGAAAATATTTGAGAAAATTACAAGACAACCATTGTATTAGATATTATAAATCATATTATCTTCTTTCAACTCGACATTTCTAATCTAAACTATGTTAATCCTATTTTGTAGGGGGGGG